GTTTAGGCCCAGACACGGCTAGTGACGTCAGACTTAACGACCGGATACTTAGGAAGTCTCCAATGCATTACTTTATAATAATAACAACCAACAACAAAAGTTCAAAGACTATAGTGAAACTCGAGAAATACAGCAAAAGGTTTTGCAAAAAGATTTTCTAAAACGTGCAAAACCACTGCTATAGTCCTTTGAAAGTATGTCTCTGGTAAAACACAGAGGCTTTGGTGTAAGCACAAAAATATCTCTGTATCATTCAAGATTGCTTCTTTGAATTTTTTTTTTTTTTTTACAGAAAACATTTTTGACTTGTCACCACGAAGAAAACACAATTATTAAAAAACCCTAACATACAGTATGTAATTGAAACTTCTATCTAATAGAAACCACAAAAAATGGTGGGAATATGCCAGCACTTACCAGCATAGTATATTCTGCATACACATCATCCTGGTTCTCTATCATATCATATCTCTCAACTCCGTTACATGTTCCATATGTACGGAGTGGAGAGATAGTCTCTCACTCAGAAAACCAAGGTTACAACGTAACCGTACGTTCTCTAAGTGGTCTGTATGTAATGAGTCTTTTTTCACTTATATCTTTGTTTAAACAAGATTATGACGGCCATTGTGCTGTGGTTTCAAATAACTGCAATGACCGGTCAGAATATCCTGATTATCATTGACTCGCTTTGTGTTTTTCTCTTTCCATGCTTTAAAACAAAGACTTTGGACAAAAGACCACCTAGAATTCCTTTTATCTGGACACTATCTTAGCACAGGAAAAGCAGGGAGAGAGCTAAAATTCTTGACTAACAGACAACTAGTCTGTGAGGTGATATTGTCTGTTGCTGCCCAGCGTTTCTTGAAGTAAAGTTATTTGGGTTTTGAGGGTAAGCAGAATGGTGCAAATGGGATGGCACAGCACCTCCTTATGTCTTCAGTCTCTGGTTCTCTCTTTCAGGGATGTTCCAAGGTTTGGGATACACACTACGCCAACCGGGCCAGGACAATTTAACTGGTAACATCAAACACAGACTTACACAGTATTGTTCATATTTTTTACAGTGCACTGCACAACATCGTAATGCACTATAGCAACCTTTGAATTTTGTAAGACCCCCTGACTCCCCTGACACTTGCTACAAGGTTGGAACAAACTTTTGGGAAAAACAGGCACCATCTTGATCCAGGTCATCCATGACAAGCTACTGGAAGTAAGCATAAACATTTTGGAAAATAACAATACCTCAAACAATAAATGTTTGAGGTATTTTCATAACTGTAATTTCCATATAACAACACTATGTGTGTATGTTTAATACTTAGATTGGACTTTGAAAAATGCTTTGGCCCCAAACGCCATCTGTTGGAGCTTGTATATGTTCACAGTTTCATCATTTAACACCACCGTGGCTGTAGTCCAATAGTCATTTTTGGTTAACCGCCTGTCACAGCATTGCATTTCTGATTGAATTCTGTTATTTACACTTACTGTCTTTGTTACCCACATTAAAAGTTACGTATGGAAAATGGTTGTACTCCATCGCTTATTTTCCAGAGCATGATATGTAGTATGATCAGGACCAAGCTTTTTCCCGTCTCGGTTTCTCATTTGCCAGTGGACACTTCCAGCACCATGCTAACCATGTTGTGTGGTTTGGTTGGTAAATGTGTTGAGTCAAAATGTAAAAAGTGTTTTTAAAAAGGGCAATTTTTCCTCGAAAGGTGACGCGTGTCACCTGCATACCTACAGCAAAGATTCTATTCAGACAGACTAACCACACGTCCCTTTGCTTGTTTTGTGTAAACCACACACACACACACACACACACACACACACACACATGACTTCAGTAGCCTCTACTTCATCTCTAAAAGAAAAATGCTGCATGTTGCATGAGTACTGTACATCCTGGTTGGAATGGCTGAGTTGGCTGCTTGTCTGTGTTTCGATCCTCGACTCATTTCCATTTCCGGTATCATTCTCTCTCCTCTCTTCGGTTCATTGGTGTCTGCCACATGCTTTCACCCTCCACATACAAGCAAAGATTCGAATAATTCTGCAGCTGTGTTTCTGAGGCCGGACTACAAATAGTTATGTTGAGCTGCCAGGAAGATTTTGTTTCTTGGCATTGGGTAAGTTTGAATGCTTCCTTTTCTGAACGAGACCATTAGCTAGTGTTTAACCTTTGCCCCCTTTTCATTTACATCATTTAGTATGTTTTGCCCAAACAAAACACCATCGCTGCTCATAGATGCTACTTTGACCACTGTCTTCTCGTAGGTCACTTTCTGGCCATCTTCCAGTGTTGATCACAGATGTCCAATAACACTGAAATATCAGTCAGCTCAAAGAAGAACCTTCTGGATTATGCAGGCACCCCTAAGTTGTTTCTAGAGGAATCTAAAGGATGTTCCCAATGACCCTTTTTGGCACTAAGAGAAAGAGAGTAATGACTGAGAGTACCCACCTGCTTGTGGCTGATATAGTAGGACACCAACACATTTGGACAAGTTTGAGTTCAGGTCTCCTTTGTTTTATGGGAGTATCTGGTGACTTAAAAGCTGTCTGTATGGACAATTCCATGTTTTATTATTTTACAGCTTAACACCCCTTAACGCACTCGCTTCTTGTTGTTCTAAGCAGAGTGTCATTTAGTATTTAGTCCATAGAAGACAGCATTTACCAGATAAGTGTTAGTAAAAATAATAGCAACAATCTGACCAGCAGCAATCCCACCAGTGACACTAACTGAACTTGTGCTGAGTTGGTCCTCCAGCCATTACCAACAGTCCCGACTGCTTCTCGACACTTCTGATACCCGGAAATAGAAAAAGAACGACAGCAATGGGAGATGAAGATATTGAAACTGATGCCAGTAACAAATTCTTATTGCCACAGTTCCTGTTGCTGTTTATGTGATCACAGGATACCACTCTGTTGCTGTGCCCCTGCAGGGTTTCCGAAAGCCGAGCGGACTATAGAGTGGTCTCATATTCCAACCGCTCCTGTACCAGAGCATCATCTTTGTACTGCAGCCGTGGAGGAGTCAAAGAGCAATCTATGGCCAAAATTGCTTTGCGAATGCTGCGGTCCAGAACATGACGCTCCCAGGCTGGATAGCGGTTCCTACAAAGGTCGATCTTGATGACGTTCTCCTCTAGGCGTGGAGCACGAGAAGATGGCGTGGATGGCACTGTGGATCGGACCTGAAACACTGGCATGCAGCCATCTCGCTCAGAATACTTGCCCGCGTCGTGTCGTTCTAGAGTTGTGGTAGCACCTCGGTTCGAACGCAGTGAATTGGTGGCACCTTCTGATGGCAGAGTGGAGAACTGAGCAGTAGGGTCCAGGTCAAGGCCTTGGCCACTTGGCGAGTGTCCGAAGCGTGGCCCGTTCGGGTGAAAAAAGGCATAGTACATGAGCATGAAAACAATGCCGGTGAGGAAACTGCTGAAAATGACGCAGAGTGCTGGCACTGCAAAGGCGTCAGTATTTTGAGGAAATCGGTAGAGATACCACAACGCACTGAGAGCAGTGTTCTCCATCAAGATTACCAGGTAATAGATAAAAAGCCGACACCTGCACAGAGACATGAGACATAATAACAACAAATAAATGCAAGTATTTGCAAGCAACTATCACTAAAATAAGCTGAAGGTCTCACAGATTGTTGTCAGTACTAAATGCTAAAGTTGAAACTAGCTCGAGAAACAGGAATGGCTGAATTTCTTTTGCATGGTAGTACGCTTCAACTATTGCACTTACTGCAACCAAGCGCTTATACATTTAAAAATGACAGAAGAGTTAAAGCATTGTTTAAAAATTGAACCACATCACACTGATGGAGAACGTCTTCACCTTGTCCGTCCTTCCTTGACGTTGAACCAGGAAAAGATGTAGATTATGCCCACCACCATGTCAAACACAATCTCTTCCCACTTGCTGATGCAGAAGTCTGTCTCACAGTGGACAATCCAAAAGGTCATGATGCACCAGTGCAGGACGATGAAGATGCCAAAGTAGAGTTGAAATACAGATGCAAACAGAGCAAAGGTGATAACTCGGGCTGCTATGGTGAAGAAGTGCCAACAGAACTGGATAATCACGGCCAGATAGCTGATGGGCTTTTTGTCATCCCGAGACTCTCGCAGGGCCTTCTGATAGGAGGCCAGGGCCCAGGCCATGGAGACGAGGGAGGCTGCAGCTGTCATTCCT